GTCCCAATCCGCTGGACCCCAGTAGCAAGCTAACCTACCAGTCGGGGTGTCTACCCCATGGTGGTCAGTACACGTCATAGCAAGCAGTTGAACGGGCCTTAGCATATCATTAGCCTGTTACGCTTTGATTGGTTGAACAGTCGACCAGTCACTGGATGACCAGACACTTAGCATATTAGGCTTTTATTATATAGGATATTATGTACTATAAATATATACCTATCACATTTTCTTTATCCACTCACCTGTCCACAGACACTCAGGTGGACTCCACGCCTTGGCTACTGTGACTAGGGCAATCACAGAGGGAGCAGATATCTCTTCGAGGTCCTGCTTTCACTTCCTTTGAGTACATCCCCAGCAGCAGGATTGCTGCATCCTATGGTAGTTCTGTTTTTAGTTTTTTGAGGAACCTCCTACTGTTTTCCATAATGGCCGTACCAATTTATATTTCCACCAGTAGTGTACAGGGTTCCTTTTCTCCACATCCTTAAGACATTCATTCTTTGTTTTTTGTTTTTTTTTTTAAATATAAAGAGTCATTCTGATCATCTCTGTGGATCACCCCTGATGATTAGTGATGTTGAGCACCTTTTCATATATCTGATGGCCATTTGGATGTCTTCTTTGGAAAAAATGTCTCTTCAGCGCCTTTGCCCATTTTAAAAATCAGATTACTGCCTTTTCCATCTATTGATTCCCAACTTATTTTTTCTTAGTTCTTCTGAGTACCATATAATAAAAATAGCTCAGGAAGTCTTGACCTCCTTAAGACTTGCTTGGCCATTTATTCATCCATCACACATTTACGCAACACTATCACACAACCGTCACCGACAGTATCATGGTCAGCGGAGCACCCCTTGCCGTCATGGAGGTCTTGTGGGAGAGTCACCCATCAGACACATAATCACACACCTGAATATACACAATAAAGAGAAAGGCAGGTCAGAAACCAGAGCATTTAACCAGGGGCATGTGACCCAGAGAAAACCCAACAACGGAGGGAATAAGGTGGGAGCTGAAGTCTGAAATGTTATTTATTCATCTGTTTACTCACTGGTTCTCTCAACAGGTATTTATGGTGTTGACTATGTTCCAGGCTCTGTTCTAGACTCTGAGACGCAGTGGTGAAAAAGCCAACCAAAGTCCCTGGCCGCGTGAAGCTTCCCTCCAATCACAGGGAATGAATGAAGTTGGGGTCACTGAGAAGGGCAGGCAGAGGGAGAGCAGGAGCCAGGGGCCTGAGGCAGCAAGGACTGTGGTGCCCTCAAGGGACAGCCATGTGCCATCCGGCTGGAACTCAGAGCGGAATGGAGAGGCAGCGACAAAGGAGGCTGGACTGGAATGCAGGGGCCCAGACCAGAGCCTTGTGACTTAGGATGGCAAGAATGCGCTCACGACAACGCCTCTCTGCTGCAGACCCATTCCCAAACGCAACCCATTGGTTTACACCAGGGGTGGGCAAACTTTTTGACTCGAGGGCCACAATGGGTTCTTAAACTGGACCGGAGGGCCGGAACAAAAGCATGGATGGAGTGTTTGTGTGAACTAATATAAATTCAAAGTAAACATCATTACATAAAAGGGTACGGTCTTTTCTTTTTTTTAGTTTTATTTCAAATGGGTCGGATCCGGCCCGCGGGCCATAGTTTGCCCACGGCTGGTTTACACCTATTGATGAAGGTGGCGGCTGGGCTTGGCAAAGTGCTGAGTGCTTCGGATGTGATCTGGCGAACTGGGCTTTGCTTTCCTTTGTGCATGTGTGACTTACAGCAGCCTCCGCCCGCCAGCCACCACAAGATGGACTCACAGGACCCCTGCATTCCCTAGAATTTTCTTTTCCTGGGTCATTCCTTTAAGGTCTTTTACTTTTTTTCCTTTTAATAGATTTTTTATTGATTTCAGAGAGGAAGGGAGAGGGAGAGAGAGGTAGAAACATCAATGATGAGCGAGAATCGGCTGTATCCTGCACGCCCCCTATTGGGGTTTGAGCCCACAACCTGGGCCTGTGGCCCGACTGGGACTTGAACCAGGAGAGAACATCTTCTACTTGATTTAACAATGCCACTTCCTGCCCTGTGGCGTGGGAAATGCGGACAACCTCACCGAGCCTGCTTCCGATTCTTTGCTGTTCTGTGGGGGATCCTAATACCTCCGCGGTGGGGTGGTTGTGATGGCTCATTTGAATGAAATGGGAGCATGGGTGTGAGATTGCCCAGCACAGCACCCGGAGCCCAGTAGACGGGCATCGCAACCGTTATGTCTGCTCATTTACCCCTTACTAATCGATTTGGAGTTCTGTTCAGTGAATTTCTGTTAAGCAAGGGATGCCTGCTCTCAGATTACAGAAACTGCCAGTTTCCAGGGCAAGAGGTTATTCGCGAGCTTGCCTCTTGCCATGGCTCAGGACCGGCCAGGGGAGATGGCGGGGAGGGTCCCTTCTGAGCTTAGTGGAGTGAGACTTCATTCTGGAACAAAGGAGCAACGGTGATACACACCCAAGCCTTTGTCTTCCCTCCGTCGTGGGGATCCGAAGTCATGTGTGCGTCTGGATGGGAGAGCAGGCCACGTGACCGAGGCAGGGCTTGGAGGCCGTGCCTCTGCATGCTGGCCTGCAAACCAAATAATTGCATGCAGACGTTCCTTTTGATCCCATCCTAATACCGATTTACAACTCTGCTTCCTCGTAACCCCAGAGAAAGCCCTAATCACGGTGCGAGTACCGAAACGGAGCAGGCCGGCCTGGAGGAGGGGGTCTGTAGGTGTGGGTCCCTGCAGGGGCAGCGAGGGGCGGTTTTCTAACCTTTACTTCTCCTTCCCCAAATTAGTGTCTCCATGTGGCGAGGCGGGTATTTTCATCTGAGTGGCTCGGGTGAGCCATGGAGGCAGAAGACCATTTTTTTTTTTTGTGGTTTGCTCCAGGCCAGGCAGTGTTTCCATTCTGTTCTTTTATGATGATCATGATTACTTCATTACCTACCCCTGATGGGGTTTCTTTGGGTCCCGGTCTGTTTTTAATAAGAAGCAGACTAAAAACAAAGTTTCGGTTGTGTTTGAAATCTTCAGCTTTCCCTCCCCCTCCACCCCCCCTGAAATAATAGGTTCAAGAATTTTATTTGTCTTCTGAGGTTCTGAGGTTGCCTCCTCAGTGCTCGGACCCGAGTCCTTCGGGGAGCAGGGAAGTGGCCCCTGGAAAGCCACCGTCAGAGGCAGGTTCCCAGGGTCTGCTCCCATCGGCTGACTCCGAAGCTCCGAGGTGAGGCCCCAGAAGCTGCGCTTTGAGCAAACATCCCGGGGATCCTAGTGGCTATTGAAGCCTGAGAACAGGGTCAAGGAGGGAAGGTCCGCCAGCAATGCTTCCTTTTAACTGCCATACAATTCAAATACCATAAGCTCACCGTTTCACAGTGAGCAGTTCCGCAGTTTTCAGTACAGTCACGAGGTTGCGCAACCGTCACCGCTCTCCAATTCAGAGCATTTCTCACCTAAAATGAAACCCCGAACCTGTGAACAGTGAGTCCCACTTCCTCCCTCTCCGACCTTCTGGCAGCCACTAATCGATTTCCCGTTTCTAGGCCTATTCTGGACATGTCACAGGAATGATATCGTATCATTTATGGCCTTTTGTGACTGGCATTTGGCATGATGTTTTCAAGGTTTATCTATATTGTAGTCTGTATCAGAGCTTCATTTTTTTTTGTTGGGGTATAATATTCCACTATAAGGATCTATCTCATTTTGTTTGTCCATTAATTAGTTGATATCAATTAATATTTACCGGGTACCATTTTTGTGCAACACAGTCCGATGGGCTGCCCAGGGGCTGGAGATGAGTTCCCCAATAGTTCTGGGCATCAAGAAGAAGAGATGGAAAAGGCAGCCTCAGACACAAAGCAGATGGATGGATGGATGGATGGATGGATGGGAGGCCACACACCCAGGAAAAGAAAGTTAACTTGGAGAGGCAGCATGGTGGTGGCTGGTGCTGCCCAAGTTCAGGATCAGCAGTAACAGTCACTCAGCCAGGGGCGGGGACCTTGACTGCAAGTTGGGTCTGGGCCCTGGGGTCCCAGGGATGAATTAGACATGATCCACCCCACGGGACTCATAGACTATGAAGGAGGGAACACGTGGACCCAGATTGTGGCTTAATACAGCACAGCTGTTGGGAGAGTGGGTGGAGGAGTGGGGGAGGGGAGGCCCTTTCAGCTCAGGGTTTGAGACAGACGAAGGGGAAGCCGTGTGGGAACTGAGCTTGGCGGCTTGGGTAGGACTCAAAAACGGTGATAGACAATGGGAGCAAGTTCTGAAAACAGTCAGGGACACCATGTCTGAGAGAGGCTCGGGGACAGGGTTCCAGGACACCTGTTTGACTCGGTCAATTATTTCCAACCCTGGCTGCACACCAGAGTTACCCAGGGCTTAAACAACAACCACCAAAGCCTGGGCTCCGTCCGGAGAGATTCCGTTTTAATTAAATGGCTTTAGGGCGAGCCCAGGCGGCGGTATTTACTAAAGGCCCCCCAAGTGGTTCTACTGAGCAGCCAGAGTTAAGCAGCACTGACTCGGAGACTCAGGGTTCGCGGCGAGGCCGTGGGACACCAGCCTGGCGTGTGGCGTTGGGAGTGGACGGTAGGCAAGTTGACCGCATCATTTATTGCCCAAACTGGGACACATTTCGCGTGAGATGAGGTGCTGTTATTATTATTATTTAAAAAAATAATTTTATTGATTGCAAGAGGAAAGGGGAGGGAGAGAGGGATAGAAACATCAATGATGAGAGAGAATCATGGATCGGCTGCCTCCTGCATGCCCCCTACTGAGGATCAAGCCCGAACGAAAGCTGGGCATGTGCCCTGACCGGGAGTGGAACTGTGATTTGCTGGTTCATAGATAGACACTCAATCACTGAGCCACGCCGGACGGGTGAGGAGGTGCCATTATTCATGATGCCAGGGCAGCAGGCTGTCCCGGATAAACAGACCTTCACATGCAGGCTGTGGGGTTTGAGCTGCACCTCCTCAGGCGTGGGAGCCAGGGAAGGTTCGGGAGGGAGCAGAACGCTGACACCTAATAAAACTGGTGCTTTAAGGAGAGGAAGGAAGCAGCAGGCTCGGATGGGCTGGCAGGGAGAGGCTGGAGGCAGGAAGGCAGAGGAGTCCGGGGAGGGCTGACCTGGGAACATGAGAAGGCGGACACCGTGTGAGAACCTTGCACAGTCCCTCTGCTCACTTGTTAACTGAGAATCCAGGGAGCCTCCTGGGAGGGGCTGCAGGCGATGGCTTCCCCAGTTGTCCCCGTTCCCTGCCCCCACTGCCCCCGCTGCCTGGGGAGCTGCCACCTCTTGGGGAGCCCCAGCCCTCCGCTCCTCCTCCAGCTTCCGGAGGTGCTACTGTCCTTGCTTTTCCTCTCCCTTTGCCTCCTGCCTCGCAGAGCTGGTCGGATGAGATGTCCATCGATCCACCCAGCCTGAGGCCAAACACTGGATGTTTGACTTTGAGTGTGAGAATTCGGACCGGCTCTGTGCAGGGCCCTCTGCTTCCAGAAGCTGGGGGAGAGGGGCGGGTGGCACCAGCTCTTTGCCTTCCATGTCCTGACCCCCAGAGCAGAAAGTGCCGTCCCCAGAGCTGGAGTGGGGGAGGGAAGGTGCAGACCTCCTCGTCCCCCAACCCTGGCTGTGCTTCCCAGTGGAAGGCAGAGGGGCGCCCCAATGCCAAACACGAGGCACACAGCGGGGGTGGGCCAGTGGGCAGAGGAGAGGACGCTGGAGAGCGGAAGGGCTAGCTCCCAAGCACTCCGGCCCCTTTACTTTTCTCTTTTCTCAATCTGGGACAAACATATTTAAAATTCTCTCAAAGAACACCCATCCATACACGCAGACCAGCCGGCCTACCCTCAGCACTCAGGGAGGCCAAGGGGCTCTCGCTGTGTGGACTGGCCCACCCCAGCTCCTGCCACGACCCCTGAGTTGACGAGATGTGTCCTTGGCCCAGGCAGTGGGGGTCGTCTCTGGCCTGGAAAGAAAACCCTCCTTCTCCTTGGACCTGAGGGGTGGTCACCGCTGCACTTGGAGCCCCATAAGTAGTACCGTTGGGTCAGCTGTGGTTACCTGGCCTGGGGGGCTGGGGCCAGAGGGGAATTCCTGAGAGAATTGCTGTGTGATGAACCTTCGGTGCTGGAGGCTGGTGCTCTCTCGAGAAGTGAACGACCTCAACGTTTGCATCTGGAGAATGGGTGGACAGCAGCCTGGTAGGTCAGAACTTTTTTTTTTCTTTTTAATACACGGTGTTATCAGCTTCTTTTTTCTAGACAACGGATGAGAACTTTGTTCAGGGAAGCAGGCTATGGGATTTAAGGCCCCTGTTGGTCACCCACAGGCGAGGCTAATTCGCCTTGATTTCCCCTGGCGAGGAGGGAGCAGGCTCCTCTCACTGCCTGCAGGGAGTTCTCTGGCTGGGGGCCGAGGGACATCCGGGGAGAAAGGGATGAGGACAGAGGCCTCTTTCTTGTTGAAGTGGAAATTCCTCGGATGAAGATTGGGATGGAGTGTCCAGCCAGAGAGGTCCCCAGCCCCCAGGGGATGGCACCGGGAAGAAGGGGGTCAGAGCTGGTGACCTGGCTTAGCCTCAGGGCCTGGATGGGGCTGGGCCCAGAGTGTGGGGGGGACAGGAGCCTCCCTGGAGGCAGCTGCCTCTGCCGTGGTCACCCTTACCTTGAGAACATGGCTGAACTTGGAAGTGTGAGATATCAGCTAACCTTGGAGCCTGACTCTGGGCGAGGGGCAGGCCCAGCGAGGCATGATCCCAGCAGGCTTTGCAAGGCAGTTTCCATAGCAACGCCATGCGCTATGCCAGTGCTGTGGGAGCTGGGACCTTAGGATGTTCCGTTCTCTCCAACTGCCATTTGCAATCAGAATGACTGCCCCAGGACCCAGTGCTCCCAGATTCCTTGGGGCAGAGGGGTTAGGTATGTAACAGTGGGTGTGGAGTGAGGCTTCCTGTTCCTATGAACATATGCCGCGCCAGCAATTACTGAATAAATAAGAGGGACTGAATTTGCGTCCCAAACTGGTAAAGTGTGTTTGCTTAGGAAAAAGTCCAGAAAGTTATACAACGCAAAATCATTAGTCATTGCCGCTAGCTGGTAAGATATCAGCCGGGACCCTTCGTTTTTTCTTTACATTTCTCTGTATTTTCCTGCAGTGAGAGCTATTAAAAACACTTTCACAGTGGCTCAAAAACTAATAGTTATTTAGTGGTCCCGAGAAAAGGCTTTATTTAGTCTGCTCCTCTCCGTTCCAGGAGGTGGGGAGCAGCAATACAGTGTGTTTTGGAATGGTTTCTCTTCATCCCAGATGGTTCAAGTAGAAAGTCCGGTGCCTACTGGTGTGTGTTCAACTGTCTGGAAAAATCAATTAGAATGGACAGCAGACCTTGGCTTGTGGTGATGGGGGAGACGGAGCCACGGTGTCTAGCTAGAGGATCAGGGAAAGAAGCTCCGAGGAGGGCCAGGCAGTGAGCTTGCTCCCGTGTCTCTGAGGGCGGCCTGGGGTAGAGGGAGCCCAGGGCCCCTGACGTGCAGAAATTCCAAGGGACAAAGGTCAGGCAGGCCAGCTAAGCACATGGCAGCACATCCGTGACTGGGATGTCTTCGGAGAGGCTGTCATGAAATGACCTCAACCTTCCAGCCACAAAGACGTTCTTTCTGCTGGTTGTCACATCATCTTGAACATGACAGGAGCGTCCGTGAGGATGAGGGAGCAGAGTGGGTGAGGTCCAGGGTAGAGTTCTGAGGTCCATGGTGAGCTGGAGTGTGAGGCAGGGAAACGGAGGCAGAATCCTGTCTGGAATACAGAGGCAACATGGCAGGCAAGTGGGTGCGGATGTGGCTTTGGGGTTACCCAGGCCCATAGGGCACGTCTCCGGCCATGAGACTCATTCCAGACCCCTCTGGAATGTCCTGCCTGTGGAAGGCCTGCCTGATGTGGTGGGAGGGGCTCACAGCAGGGGCACGCAGAGGGGAGCCGGCACAGGTGTTCTCCGAGGACGAGAACGGGCCAGGGCCTGGCAGGGTCTGCTCCTCTCTCAGCTCTCGGTCCTTGGAGGGTCCCCTCACCCACCCTCCCTCCCGGCCTCTGTGAAGCTGGGGCCCAGCCTCCTCTTCCTGACGGGGTTTGCACCCTTCTAGTCTCCACTGTCTCTGAAACAAGGGCTGGGGGGTTCCTTTGACCTCCCGCTGCTCCTGGAGCCTCAATGCCGAGGGCAGCCGGGACCCAGGGAGTCTGGGTTCTGGTTTCCGGCCCCGCTGGGCAGGTGTAGAGTGAGGGCTCAGTTACTGGCATCCCGAGGGAGCCCGAATCAGCCCCTTCCGGGCAGAGAGCCCAGGCTAACTCTGCCACAGCCCGTGAACTGACACAGGCTCCTGGCCTCACAGGGTCTCAGCTTCCCCAATGGCCACCCAGATACTCCCAAGACCCTGGCCAGGTCTTGCGTTCTTGACTGAGGAGGAAGGTGGATCAGAGGATAGCCAAGACTCATGGGTTTGCTGGGAAGGACTGGAGAAGGAGATGTCAACTGTGTGCCTGGGCCGGGGAGGGCGGCTGAGTCACTGGGCATGACGAGGCCGGAGGGGAGCTGGGGGAGGGGTGCAGAAGGGGGTGGGGGGGAGGGCTGGAACGGGAAGGCATGTGGTCAAACCACGGCGAGGAGGCCGGGGCTGGCAGTGGGGCCAGTGAGGCTGCCCGTGGTGCCACTGGGCCGCTGGTGGATCATCAGGGCTCTGGGCTCCGGGAACCTCTGGGAATGGCTGTACTGTGGGGATGGCTGCTGGGCCCTGACCCAGTGCCGTGGGGCTGACTTTCGGAGGCCTCTGTGTGAGAGGCCCTGGGAGAGGCCCCACCAGCCAGGAGCCTGCCCCTCAGCTCCGGGCTCCAGTCCTGGGGCCACTTCTCACAGCGCGCTCCTGCTTGTCTGCTCTTCATGCCTGTTCCCAGCTCCCAGGGCCCGGGACGCCCCTACAGCTTAGCGTGGTCGGGGTGCACAGCGGGACCCACACAGGGGCAGCTCCTCCATCTAGTCCCCCATCCAGAACTATTGGAAAGAGGGATGGAGGCGAAGGTCTGACCAGCCCTGCTCCGTCCTCCTCCCCACTCCCTTCTCTGCCCTCGTGGCTTTCTGGGGACCCTCTGCGCTTCCAGTGCTGGTCACCCCCAGGTGAAAGGAGGCTCTAGCAGCTCCAAGACCAAGCAGCCCTGTGCCCCCCTCCCAGAGGCACCCTCATGGCTGACAGGCCTTGTTGATGGTGCCGGCTCTGCCACACTCTAGCTCTGTGCTCTGGCGTGTAGGTTAGGAGCAATTGTTCCTGAGTGCCCAGGTTACCTGTGCAGGGTGGGGACTCCATCAACGGTTCTATGGTTGGTCTGGGACTCCTAGCAGCAGGACCAAAGGTGCTCCCAGACTCCTGGGGGCTGAGCTGGACCCAGAGCCCTGGGGAGGCGTTTGGTGGGCTGCAGGCATCTTTGGCCTTTGGGAAAAGAGAAGGGAGTGTTGGGAGGGAACCAGAGGCAGGGGGTGGGGACGGAGGGGGGATTCTAGCCCAACCCGGGCCATGGTTGGGGGAGGCAGTGCCCCCTAGCAGGGGCTTCTGGTCAGGTGAGGGCTGGCTTGGGAGGTTATCTGAGGGCACAGGAAATATCTGGAATCTATGGGAATGGGAACTCGGGTCAGAGGTCACCTCAAATTAAAATTTAAAAAGCCCTCTGTGTGAAGGGAATCAAAGGAGGTGAAGACATTTGCTCTTCCGGAGTCTCCTGAGCCCAGATGTTAGTGGTTAAAATTCTTGTGCGGCCAGACAATGGGCGCTGAGAACAGCTCTGGGGCCGGAGGGGCAGGAGCGCCCCGAGGACGCGGTGGGGTCCCTCAGGTCCCCCCAGGACACTGATCTGGGATTTCTTGAGCAAAGCCGGGCGCTGTGGGGCGACGGGGTGCTCGGGGTGGTCCCAGGCCTGGCTGGCCCCTCACTTTGGCGGGCTGTAACCTGGCATGAAACAGGATCCGGGACCCCGCTGCCTGTGTCAGAGCAGCTCGTTAGCGGAGGCCCGGGCCCTGCAGATTTATGTCATCTGGGGAAGGGCTTTGATCTGAGCCCAGGGTGAGGGGCAGGGGGTTCTTGGGTCTTAATTGGCATGAGCCAGGCTGATGCTGACCAGGACCCCATCCTGACCAGCCCCCAGTCTCTGCCTCTGTGACTATGCTGTTTGGGGTGCGGGGCTCTGGTGGTGGCGGAGGGAAGGGGGGAGGACAGAGGGTGTGCGGAGTTTAATCCTGCCCTGGAAGGGGGAGGATTAACAGCCCCAAGGGGTCCTCCTCCCTGCAGCCACTCCCCAGCCTTGACCCATCCCTGACTTTGACCCCTTCCCACTCCGACCTCACCCCGTCCAGGGGTCACCATCGGCCTGGCCCTGTGCTGGGCACTGTGAGGATGTAAGTCCAACAGAAAAAGCGAGGCTCAAACCCAGCTGCAAGTAGCCGCTGAAACCACAGGCTGTGCTGGCCAGTCTTAGACGTGCTCAGGCCAGGGGTGTCCATCTACATGAGGGTTTTCTTATGTTTTGTTCCTTTCTTTCGTTTTCTGGATGAGGAGGAGGGAGGAGGTATGAATAGGGGCTACTTGGACAGGAGAGGGAGACAGAAAAAGGGGCTTTGTAGATGGAATCAAATTCAGGCTCTTCAGATGGGAGACTGGGTTATCCGGGCTGGGCCTCAGGGCAGTCACCAGGGCCCTTGCCAGAGGAAGACAGGGTGTCAGAGGCAGAGAGAGGTGTGACCGTGGGAGCAAAGGCCAGAGAGGGAGATGGGAAGATGCTATACTGCTGGCTTTGAAGATGGAGGAAGGGGACGTGAACTAGGGGATCGGGTGGCATGGTGAAGCTGGAGAAGATAAGGGCGTGGATTTCTTCGTGGGCCGTCAGAGGGCACACAGCCCTCCAGCCCCCTGATGGAGCCCCTTTCCACGCAGGTTTGGACTTTGCACTGTGGGAACCAGATGATGATGAATCTGGGTGGTTGGAGCCACCGTGTTCGCGGTCGCTGGTTATATCAGCCATAGGAACTAATAGGGGGTCTAGATGCCTCCGGGAACGGCTGTGGGAGGTGCCTGGAGCCCAGTGTGATGGGAATGCGGACAGGTGAGGCTAGACGGGGAGGCCCAGACGACAAAGGGCCTCCAGGTCATAGAAAAGAACTTGCCTTAGTCCGAGGCAGCCCAGCCGAGCTATGCACAGAGGACGGACATCTCCGGAGGAGCCCTGCGGTGGGAAGGGACTAGAGATAGTGGCCAGAGGGCCTGCTGCAGGGGTGGGGGCAGCGATGTGACGTGGGCCCAGCTAGAGGCAGTTCAGAGACACAGTCTGCTCCCGCGGGGGCCCGGGGCCCAGCACAGGGCAAATTCCTCTCCTACCAGCCCCGTCCTTTCCTTTCCTGCCTCACCCAGCTCTGGGTCAAAGGCTCCAAAGGGCCCCTGAGATAAGGTAATGAGTTTGGAGGGTGGTAAACACTGGAGAATGTTCCCGAGGGTTCGGTTGGGAAAGGGTAATTGGCATCCCGTGTGCGTGCACGCACACCCACGCAGGAGCACACAGGCACGTGCACCTGCACACCAGGAGGGGTTGTAGCACGCCCGTGACCTTTCTCCTTGGCAGCCTTCTCCCTCGCCCTGTCTGATGCCAGGTCTCCAGGGGTGACTGCCTTTTTGGGCAGCCAGACTGAGGAGCCAAGGGCTGGATGTCAGAGGTGTGTGTATGTGTTCGCACACAGCGGGCAGCAGACTCACACCGGTGATCACTGCTAGGGAGACGCTCCGGTCACTTCCTCTGAGCGCTCAGGGTGAACCACATTAATCACGCAG